CTCTTCAGCACTTTAAAGAGGTCTTTTGCAGCACATTTGCCCAATGCAATATGTTGTCTGATCTCTTGACTGCAGCTTCCATTGGTGTTGATTGTGGAACGAAGTAATTTGAAGTCCTTGACAACTTTAATCTTTTCTCCATTTATTGTGATGCTGCTTATTGGTCCAGTTGTGAGGACTTTCATTTTCTTTATGTTGAGATGCAATCCATACTGCAGACTGTATGTAGTCTTTAATCTTCATCAGTAAGTGCTTCCCGTCATCTTTACTTTCAGCAAGCAAAGTTGTGTTGTCAGCATATCGCAGGTTGTTAATGATTCTTCCTCTAATCCTGATGCATTTTTTTTTTCATATAGTCCACCTTCTGAGATTATTTGCTCAGCATAAAGAATGTATAAGTATGGTGAAAAGATATAACCCTGACACACTCCCTTCTTGATTTTGAACCACACAGTATCCCCTTGTTCTGTTTGAACAACAGCTTCCTGGTCTATGCACAGGTTCCTCATGAGAACAATTAAGTGTTCTGGAGTTCCCATTCTTCTCAGTGTTATCCACAATTTGTTATGATCCACACAATCAAATATATTTGCATAGTCAATAAAACACAAGTAAATATCTTTCTGGTATTTGTTTTCAGCTAAGATCCATCTGACATCAGCAGTGATATTCCTCATTCTGTATTCTCTTCTGAATCCAGCTTGGATTCCTGGAAGTTCTCTGTCAATACACTGCTGCAACCATTTTTGAATTGTCATCAGTAGGATTTTACTTGTGTGTGATATTAATGATATTGTTCGATAATTTCCACACTCTGTAGGAACACCTTTCTTTGGAACAGGTAAAATATGGATCTCTTCCAGTCAGTTGGCCAGGTAGCTGTCTTCCAAATTTCTTGGCATAACTGAAGAAGTGCCTCCAGCACAGCATCCGTTTGTTGAAACATCTCAATGGGTATTCTGACTGCAGAAATTGGTAAAAATCTTCAATTTCTTCGTCTTTGGCTTTGGTGGTTGGTGTGAAAATTTGAATAATAGTAGTATTAACTGGTCTTTCATGTAGGTGTATGGATATTATGCTGTTACTGATAGCATTGCACTTTAGCACAGATCTTGAAACAGTCTTTGTGACAATGCCATTCCTCTTCAATTTGTCATTCCCGTCATAGTAGATCATATGGTTGTCTGATTCAAAATGGCCAAAACCAGTCCATTTCAGCTCGCTAATGCCTAGGATATCAATCTTTATGGGTTCCATTTAATTTTTGACAACTTCCAATTTTCCTAGATTCATACTTCATACATTCCACGTTCCAGTTATTAATGGATGTTTGCAGGTGTTTCTTCTCATTTTGAGTTGTGCTACATCAGCAAATGGAGGTCCCAAAAGCTTTACTCCATCCACATCATTAAGGCTGGCTCTACTCTGAGGAGGCAGCTCTTCCCCAGACATATTTTGAGTGCCTTCTGTCCACAGGGGCTCATTTTCTGGCACTATATTGGCCAGCATTTCAGGGATATTCATAAAGTTTTCCAGTAATATATCAGACAGTGGTTTACTGAAATTCATATTATTCTCACTGGCCAATTATTTGAGAAGTGGATGGTCCCTTCCTTCTTCTGAGTTTGTCTTAGTCTGGAAGCTCTGTTGAAACCTGTCCACCATGGGTGACCCTGATGGTATTTGAAATGCCAGTGGCACAGATTCTAGCCTCACAGCAACACACAGCCACCACAATACAACAAACTGGAAGATGTGTGTTGGGGATTGAATTATATCTCCCCAAAATAAGTATTAAGTTGCCTGGGCCATGATTCCCAGTGGTTTGGCAGTTATATAATGATTACATTCCCCCATGATGTGATCTGATGTGACCACTCAATAAGTTGTAAGGTGATTAGGGTGGGATGTAATACCCTTTCTCGGGTCACAGCACTGATCTATGTAAGGGGAGTTTCCCTGATGTGTGGCTTGCATCACCATTATCTCACAAGAGATAAAAGGAAAGAGAAGTGAGCAGAGAAAGAAGGACCTTAGTACCACCAAGAAAGAAGAGCTAGGAACAGACTGCATCCTTTGGACCTAGGGTTCCTGTACTAATAAATTCCTTCACCACAGGGAAGATTGATGACAAGTGCCTCCCCCAGAGCCAACAGAGAGAGAAAGCCTTCCCTTGGAGCTAGTGCCCTTAATTTGGACTTCTAACCCCCTAAATTGCGGGAGAATAAATTTTGGTTTGTTAAAGCCATTCACCGTGGCATTTCTGTTATAGCAGCACTAGAGAACTAAGACATGAATCTTTAGTCTGGAAGCCCCTCTGAAACCTGTTCACTGTCACAGCCTCACACAAGCTTCCGCTGAAGAGGGGTAGTGGTCCACATGAGGTGCACATTATTTTTCCATGACAGGGTCACTATGAATGTCCACACAGAAGTAGCTGCTTGGTAAGACAACAGGATGACAAGTTAGAGCACAGGACCTACTGAGTCTCATAAAACATGGGTTTTCTTCCAAAGAGTAGCCTGTACAGTTGGGAAGAAAAGCATCAGAAGGAGCCCTGTAAGACAATAAGATCCCTTATCATGAACATCAACTGCTCCTTTTTTAATCCTTTTCTCCCCTCCAAAAAAAAAAAAAAAAAAAAAAGGACAAATATTCTCTTGATGTCTTACTCACAGCAAGGTTGGTCCACTGTATACTCCTCCAAATGCATCCTTGTTGATAACTGTCAGGTGTTTATTTTTGTTCAGGTAACTAGAAAAAGAAGATAAAAACAGAGGAAGAAAAGGGGTAGGGGGAGACACAGAAAGAGAGAATCAGGGTGAGAAAGAGACAATGAATGAGCTGAAGTTCAGCAATCACATCAAATTAATACAAATACCAAAATAAAATGTAACCAAGTCTCCCTAGTTCTTAACTGATTTTAAGAATTTGAGGAATCCCTTACTTCTTTTGGCTTAAACATTAAAAACATTCTGGATCTTAATTGTGCCAGGTTTATATACATTAATTATGGTAGAAGCTTTTGAAAATGAGCATGTTTAGAATCTAATTTGCATATCTAGATTTCAGAAAAGTTGCCTAGGTTCCCTATTCACCTGGTTCATAGGGACTGTATTTTTCAATACTCATCAGTACCAACTGTTCTAAATTTTGTTTCCCACCATTGGAAAATATTCCCATTTATTCCTGAAGACCAGGCTTGAATCAGGAATGGAATGAAGGTGGTCAGGTGGCGATCGATGATGGAACTATGAAAGATTCATACTTTTCCTTTTGGGGTAGGGTTGGCAGATATAGCAAATAAAATATAAGATGCTCAGTTAAGTTTGAATTTCAAATAAACAAGGAATGATATTTTAGTATAAATGGCCCATGCATACTTTTGAGACAACTCTATAATAAAATTGATATTACAGTTGAAATATTCTTATACTAAAAAGTTTTTTGTTGTTTATCTGAAATTCAAATTTGATCTGGTGTCTTGTGTTTTATTTGGCAAATATATTTTGCAGGGATGTAGGTAGATAAGAATATAGACTATACCTTTCATGAAAGGGGTTTGATGGGCTCAGGAATCTTTCTATTTTGAAAATATACTGGGTTCACTGCCGTCAAGTTGGATCCGACTCATAGTGACCCCTCCTTGGGTTTCCGAAGCAGTATCACTATGGAAGTAGATTGCCCAATCTTCCTTCAGAGGAGTGGCTGGTGGGTTTGAACCACCAGCCTTCTGGTTAGCAGTCAAATGCCTTAGGCAATATGCCACCAGAGCTCCCCACGGGGTATTTTGGGGTAAAATATTTTGAAAGCAATTTAAGTCACAGGGTGATTTTGAAACAAAATTTCCTCCAAATGGATAAAAGCTGCCAAGGATTTTGAAACTTCTCTATTTTTTCCCCTTGCTTTTTTTAGATAACAAAATTATCTAAAAAGAAACAAAGCACATAATTATCCCTGTTATAAATGATCCCAACTTACACATTTTGTTGTTGTTTTTAGTTGCCAGTTGAGTCAATTCCGACTCATAGTGATCCCATGTGTGCATAGGGTTTCAAGGCTGTGACCTTTTGGAAGCAGATGGCCAGACCTGTCTTCCAAGGTCCATCTGGGTGGGTTTGAACTGCCAACCTATTGGTTAGTAGTCTGACACTTAAACTTATCTGTCTTGCCCAGGGACTCCTTATACATATTGAGATTATTCAACTTCAGAGTTAATTAGTGGCCACCAGTAGACCAGTGGAGACCCTTGTTATTGTTGTTATGTGCCATTGAGTTGGACCCGACTCACAGTGACCCCTCCTTGGGTTTCTGAGGCAGTATCACTACGGAAGTAGATCACCTAACCTTCCTTCTGAGGAGTGGCTGGTGGGTTTGAACCACCAGCCTTCTGGTTAGCAGTCAAGTGCCTTAGGCACTATGCTACCAGAGTTCCTATGGAGACCCTTAGATGTATGGTTAATGATTCTATTATTCTAGTTACGGTATTTGCTCTTTATGATGGAAACATTCTTAAGGATAACTGTTAACAACAAGAGTGTGATTTGAAGACTTGTGGTTAGAAGGATTCCTTCTCCAGAGCCCTCACAGAGAAACTTCCCCTGGTTAATTGGCCAGTACCTCTCTTTTCCTGAATCAGATGCTGGGAGAGGAAGTGTGGATTTGCTCGTGGCTGACAAGGGGAGACAGCCTCTACTGCCTGCAGAAGGCAAAGAAAGGAGCAGTGTTCCTGTGCAGGTTCCTTCCTCCCTCTCCTGGTCCAGCTGCTCTCCACTCCTCTCAAGTCTTCTGTAGAGGTTGGAACTTGGAACAAGGGACGGCAGCCTCAGAACCAGGATAAGTCTTGATTGGGGCAGTGGAAAGAAGAAGAGTTTTACCCAACAGATGCTAAAGAAGTCTTCTGGGTAAGATAAGGGGTTAACCAAATGACAAGTAAGTAATGGGACTCCATACAATGAGGTCTCATAAACTGATCTACATTTTGCTAGCCATTCAATTTTTTTCTCAAACACAGGTTGAGAACTAGCAAATCTAAAGTGGCTTTCTCTGGTTTTCCTCACCACAGTTATCCAGTGTTCAGGGCATTGCTAAATCTGACATGGAGAAGGTCAAATTAACTCACATATACACAAAGACCAAAGTCACTGGGATGCAAATGGGTTAATATGCTTGGCCGCTAACAGTAAGGTAAGGTTGGTGTCCAGAGGGTCTCAGAAGAAAGGCCTGGTGAGCTATGACACGCATAGAATCATCATGAGTGGGAACTAACTACACAGCAAATGTTTTTTTTTAAAATGCTAACATAGCTAAGGAGCTCTGGTGGCATAGTGGGTAAGGCATTTGGCTGGGTAAGGCATGTGCTGCTAACCACAAGTTTGGCAGTTCAAACCCACCAACAGCTTGGCTGGGGGAAGATGATGCAATCTACTTCTGTAAAGATTTACAGCCTTAGAAACCCAATGGGGGTTGCTGGGAATTGGAATTGATTTGGTTTGGTTTTTGGTTTTTTGGAACGTAGCTAATCCACGCCTTCTCGATGGGTTTGTTGCATAAGGTTCTCCATCACAGACCCTCTTTGATTGCTGTTTGAGTCTCCTTCACCCCACTCACTATGTCCATGGAGTTCCTTGATCAGTGATAGCTGGAGTGGGTAAGAGCAACCTCAGAGAAAACAGTGACTGGAGAGAAGATCTTGAACAAAATGATTTTGTAAAAAGATAGCTAAAGTAAGCTCCCGCATAATTGCTGCCCTAGCTTGCACCTCTTTTTGTGTTCTTTGGATCATGCTGCTTGCAGATCACATCCTGTTCCCAGACTGTTGAAAATCAAGTAAGAGCTGGTGAGCTCATCTCTGTTTTTCCTCCTCATCTCTGACTGCTGCAAGTGAAAAATCGGCAAGCTCTAATAATTAGAAATTGTTGTAAAACTAAATAATTGCTTGTCCAATTCTGCAGTGTTTTCATCTGACATTTAATATGCCCCCGAGGATAATGAGGATGGTTGATAAGCGTTGTGGTTTAACAGAAACTCTGCCGGAGACTTGAAGCTGGGAAAGCCAGCCAGAGTCCAGGAGGAGTGGAGGAGGATGCAGGGAGGTATGGCCAGCTTGAACGGAGATGAACTGGGTCCTTGGGGAGGCACAGTCTCTAAAACCAACAGAGATGTTGGGCACTTTACCTCTTAGAGATACTTACGTGCTTAAAATGAAACTGTCACTCTGCCTTCAGCAGTTTTGAAGGATGCCTTGTTTAGTTTTTAACTTTGAGTTTACATTACTGCTCCTATCTTCCATCTGAATCTAAAAAGGTGGGATGAGGAAATGCATATGTAGAAGCCTTGGTGTTGTTAGTTGCCAGTGTGTGCATTCCAACTCATGGCCACCCATGTGTGCAAAGCAGGGCCGCTCCATAGGGTTTTCAAGGCTGTGATCTTTCGGAAGCAGATGGCCAGGACTGTCTTCCTAGGTGTCTGTAGGTGTGTTTGAACCATCAACATTTCAGTTAGCAGTCAAGTGAACTGTTTGCACCACTCAGGGCCCCAGAAGCCTTATTATCCAGGAAGAAAGTGGTTCCACCAGCCCCATTTATCACAACAAATTTTGTGAATGCAGTCTAGCTAAATTTACTCCTTGATCCTGACTTCATTCTAATTCCTCTAGAATCACCATCCTGTAAATCACTTTGGCCAAATTACAAGTCATGATAAGCCATATGGGTAACCTACTCCAGACAACTTCCTTCCATTAATGTCTCTATGTTCTAGGACAAGTTTCAGAGTCCTTTCTGACATAAATTTGGTCTTTTCTGTCTTTCTTGCCTTTTTAATGACGTTTTCCTTTCTTGGTGTATAATGTCCTTGCTGTCACCCCACAACTTGTTTGGTCTTGGTTATTAGAGTTCACTGTGTGATGTGAAATCTATTCTTGAGATGGTTTTGAAATTGAGGTGGAATATACTCAAGTCCATACCTTGGCTCTTATGGACTTGTTTTAATTTTTTTCAGCTTCAGCTTGAACTTGCATGTGAACAATTTATGGTCTTTTCTCCAGTCTGCCCACCCCCCGTTCTAAGTGATATTATTGAGCTTCTCCATACTCTTTCCACAGATACAGTCAATTTATTTCTGTGTATTCCATCTGGTGAGGACACATGTATAGTCACTGTTTATGTTGTTGAAAAAGGAATTTGCACTGAATGAGTCATTGATCTTTCCTAATTCTAAGACATTATCTACAGCATTGTTTCTGTCACCTGGACCATATTTTCCAACACTGATCCTTCTTCTTTGTATCCAGCTTTCACAATTTCAATCACCAGTAATTATCAATGCATGTTCATTGCATGTTTGATCAACTTCAGACTGCAGAAGTTGGTAGGAATCTTTAATTTCTTCATCTTTGGCTTTAGTGGTTCACAATCAACTCCCATGGAAGCAGTAGTCAAGAAATCAAACAATATATCACATTGGGCAAATCTGCTACAAATGACCTCTTTAATATGTTAAAAAGCAAAGATGGACTAAGGGGCACTTGATCCAAGCCATGGCATTTTCTTTTGCCTCATATGCAAGTGAAAGCTGGACAGTGAATAAGGAGGAGCCAAGAAGAACTGATGTCTTTGAATGATGATGTTGGTGAAGAATATTGAATATAAAATGGACTGCCAGAAGAATGAACAAATCTGTCTTGGAAGAAGTACAGCTTTAGAGACAAGGATGGTGAGACTTCCTCTCACATACTTTGGACATGTTACCAG